CAGTTCACCCCGCCTCCCCGGCCCGGGCCGCCGGCCGCTCGCCGGGCCCACCAGTGGGGCGCTCCACTCGCCGCTACCATCGCTCGCCGGCGCGCTCACCCGCTTCTACGCGGACCCACCGCTCACCCCCTGGTTCACCAGCACGTTCCCGTGGGGCCCCGCGGCTGCTGCGGACTGCTGGCGTCCACGTCATCCGGGAGCAGGAGGAGGCCAACGCTGTGGAGATCAGTGCCTGAGCTGCGGGGACACATGCGTCCTTGGGCGAGCCAGCAGGGACACCGGCTCAGCCTGGCGCAAAGTCACTAATTTGCTATTGATCCCACCCGGAGCTCCCCTCTTCTGTCCCCTGCCTGCCTGGGGCCACGCTTCCAGGGATTTGTCGCCAGGACAAGCATGCCAGGAACATGCAGGAAGCATGCACTGGCTGGGTGTGCAGTGCCCAGAGAGAGCATGTGAGGGAGCATGCACGGAGTGTGCATGCGGAGGGTGCACAAGCAGCGTGCAGAGAGCACACGTGTAGTGTGCAGAGGGAGGAATCAGAGTGTGCATGAGGGCATATGTGGAGCACGCAGAGAGAGTAAGCATGACTCAGTGCACAGAGAGAACATGCAGGAGAACATGTACACAGTGTGCTGCAAAACACATGCACCAAGCATGCAGAGAGAGCATGCAGAGAGAGTGTGCACACACTGCAGGGAAAGTAATGATGGAGCATTCAGAAAGGTGCAAGGAGAGTGTGCACGTAGTGTGCTGAGAGAGCATGCAGAGAAAGTGTGCAAGAGAGCATGCACAGAGTGTGCAGAGTGTGTGCCACGTGTGCAGGAGGGCACGCAGACAGAGCGTGGCCACAGTGTGCAGAGAGAGCAGTCACAGAGCCTGTGAGAGGACATGCATGGAGTGTGCACAAAATGTGTGGCAAGAGCATGAATGGAGTGTACAGGCAGCATGTAAGAGGGCACACATAGGGTGTGTGGGCAGAGTGTGCTGGGAGCACACAGAGAGAGTGTGCACAACAGGTGCCAGGGGCTGCACTAGGGTGTGCAGGGAGCAGGTGCACAGAGGAGCCTGCATGGAGTGTATGGGTACCCATGCACAGGTGGTGTGGAAAGTGTGTACATGGAGAACATGGACAAAGTATACATGGAACAAGAGTGTGCAGGGAGAGCATGTGGACAGTGTTTGTAGGGAGTGTGCACAGAGTGTGCTGGGAGTGAGCGCACAGCACATGAGGAAAGAGCACGAGGCTTCCGCATTCTTGTGAAGAGAGCAGGCAGGCAGTGTGTGCATGGAGTGTGCAGTGAGTGTGCAGTGAGTGTGCAGAGAGCATAAGGAGAAAGCACACATGCTTTGCTTGCAGGGAGTGTGCACAGAGTACACCGGAGCGTGCCCCAAGAGTAGGAGTAAGGCCATGCATGGAGCTTTCCTGAGTGCACAGTGGCCTAAAGAGGGGGCTCCCCACTACACCGTCCCTCCTCCGGCCCCTAAACATGGGCTGGAAGCACTGCCCTTCTGCTGCACTGGGATTTTCCATGAAAATCCCCGGATTTGGGGCTCTCCTCTGGGGCCTTCCTGGGAATAGGTTTAGGATGAGAAGTGGGGAGTGGGCGGCCAAGCACACCGGGCCCTGGGGCGCAGGTGTGGGGATTGGTAAGGGGGTGCCAGGGCCCCCCAGGGTGCTCAGGGTGCTACTAACCAATAAACTCAAGGTCCCGCCCGACTGGTGCCTGTGGGTGTCTTTGTGGGGGGGTTGGGGGGACATGCTGAGGTGTGCAGTGGCTGAGAACCAGTGAGCTCAACGCACCCGGCTGGCCACCAGATTTATGGGTGACAGTCATTCACTCTGGTCCCTATTGATGGCATCCCAAGCTGAAAGTTAGTTTCATCTTAATTTGTCTGGTGTCCCCAGCCCCGCTGCTGCCAGTGTCATCACACTCCTACCACCACCATAGCTTGACCGAGCTCTTTGTGTCCACCCCCACTTTCTGGTCCCTGCATCCGGCTATTGTCCCCCCACATCCGGAGCTGGATCTGTCCCTGCTGTCAGCAGGGAGGGCCAGGGATTTGAGGAGGAAGCAGGAAGGCCAGAAGGAAGCGAGAAGAAGGCTGGAGCAGACCAGGCAGGCGGGGCCATGGCGGGCAACTGGGCCATGGTGCTGGGTGTGGGGTTCTGCCTCACTGCCTTGCACTGGGGTGCTGAGTGTGGCCCACTGCAACCGGCAGCAGGTAAGGACAACCCAGCGGGTAGGGGGAACCCAGAAGGTCCTGTCCCACCCCACCCACACTGTCCCTCCCCACGGCAGCACTGCAGGACAATTTCCGCCTGCAGCCGGGTGACCTGGTGGCCACAGCGGGGCAAGCACTGGAGCTGGACTGCGTGCCCCCCTTGGGCCACCCTGAGCCCCGGGTCACCTGGAAGAAGGACGGGGTGACCTTGGACCTTGCTGGGGAGCACTACACCGTCACTGAGGGGAAGCTGCGAGTGGGGGTGGTGCGACGCAGTGACTCGGGGCT